GTTACTGCCTCTGGCTGAGAAAGTGACCATTTGAGCTGGATATTAAAATATAAGTCTGAGAAAGGAAGAGACAGCAGCAGGGAAAACAACACATTTGCATTTTAAGAGAAGTTCTTTAAGGGGAGTAGGATGGGAGGGGGAAGGGAAGTAGAGTTCTTAAGGTACTGTTCTCCGAGGCATCAGTCTCAGGGGTGACATTCTGGGCCCCTGGGGACTACTGTAGCTTTACTCCATTTACCTAGCCATGCGAGACAGATGGTCACCTGGACACAGCTCCGAGCAAATGCTCTCCCTCTCTCCTCCCCTCCCCCATGGTATGGCAGCTGGGTAGGTTTTATTAATAACATATAATTTCAGCTTTTGCAGACATAAGTACTGTGAGTCATGCTGTGGGCATGTGCTCTGTTGTCTGACCTCAGGATGGCGCACCAGGTGCTTTAAGAATTATAGCCTGGAAAACTATCTTGGGTCAACTGGGCCCTCCAGCACTTAACACAGGCCTTGACATAAAGAAAGGTGATCGCATTAAAGAAGATGATCGGAGTCCAGGCAGGTTGGCATTTAAGGGGAGAGGGCCCATTTCAAACATAGGTAGATGAACAAAATGCATTTATGCCTCAACTCAGCCGAGTTTTGGAACTGGTGGGAGGAATAGCAGGTGGGTTACAGTGGCAAGAGCATAGTATTTTTTTTTTTTGAGACAGAGTCTCAAGCTGTTGCCCTAGGTAGAGTGCTGTGGCATCATCATAGCTCACAGCAACCTCCAACTCTTGGGCTCAAGTGATCCTCTTGCCTCAGTTTTTTCTATTTTTAGTAGAGACGGAGGTGTCGCTTTTTGCTCAGGCTGGTCCTGAACTTGTGAGCTCAAGCAATCTACCCATCTCAACCTCCCAGAGTGCTAGGATTTACAGGCGTGAGCCACCACATCTGGCCAAGAGCACAGTATCTTGATCAAGTCATTTTGCCAAACCTTGGTTTCCTTTTCTGTTAAAGGAGAAAATGGTAGTGCCCAACTTAGCAACCTCATGGGAGTGCTGCAGAATCAAAAGAAGTCTCTTTGCAAATATGTGAGCCAGTCTATAAATGTTCTCTGTGCCTGCATGGCCCTTGCTAGAATGACTGTTGGCCTTTATTAGCTCCTGAGGAAAATTACAAATGTGTGAATTTAGGCAAGTGCAATGTCTCATACCTATAGTCCTAATTCCTCAGGAGGCTGAGGCAGGAGGATTGCTTGAGCCCTGCAGTTGGAGGCTGCAGTGAGCTATCATAGTGCCACTGCACGCCAGCCTCTTACCTAAAATAAATAAACAAATATTTAAAAATACAGTAAATATGTGAATGGATAAATGTTTAACCCTGGTAGGAGTATTTGCATTTTAAAAGAGAAGGAGTAGAGATGAGAAATCTTAAGACTGTCTAATGGTGGGATTTCATGTCGTTTGACTGAAAAAAGCCATTTACTGACAACACTGCAGGGAGAAGGTAGCACCCAGAGTGCCCCCTAAACCTAACTAGAATTCTAGGAGCTAGGACGCAGAATTGTTTGTACTTCCCATTCCCAGCTGGAACTCCCATAAGAAAAGAAGTTAGTTCATTTCCAGGCAAGCAACCGGCCACTCATTGGACCCTAGTCTAGTCCAGAGCACTTAGCGCTACAGGTGGCACAACCAGTATGTTCCAGGCTGCTGGCAGGTTGATGCCAGTAGATTCCTTCAGTCTCCAAGCTTCAGGCTCAGGAGAAAAGAGGGTGAAGCAATGTTCTGCTTCTTGGGTCATCCTGCCACCAGCCCTTAAGATCCTCTGGATACTTGCCTACCTCAAACCTCTGGCCACTAAACCCATCTGCACTCCTGGTGGGTGATGGTTCAGCTTTGGTAAATGTGACCCAGTGGGAAAGAAGGGAAGAAGAAACAAGAAAAGGTAGAGTACAACCAATGAGGTCCCTGCCATGCCCAAGCTAGGAATGGGGCTTCAGGGTCCTTCTTGCTGCCCATTGCCCTTCATGACCAGAACACACTGGTCTCCTGTCAATATAACCAAGGCTCAGTGATTCCTGGAGAGGCATACATCACTTGGGCAAGAACAGCCCATCCAACAGACACAGGGCACTCAAATGCAGCCTGCACTGCCACCGTAAACAAGGGTCGTTGACCAATGACAAAAATGAGAAGTCCAGAGGCTGAAGACCCAGTCCCCAGGGCTGGCTCCTCTTCCACTAGCAAGGGCTGTTTGGCAGGTTACTTAACTCATTTTGCAGATGAGATCCCAGTTCTCTCATCTGCAAAATGAGTTGTCACGAGTCTGACAATTAAGCAGGTGAACTCATCCTAAAAAAAGTGCTACATAACTCATTGCCGAAGATCATCATGGTCACCTTCAAAGTATTCTTCTTGGGTAGCAGCTATGCACTGACACCAGTGCCCAGTCCATACTTCAAAGCAATTTTGGAACTCTTTCTGGTGACTATCAGAGCTGTCCTCGTATGAGGTCTGACAATTAAGTTCTTGAACTTGCCACTGTGCACTCACATTGGCAGCACTGTACAGATAACTCGTAAGGCTTAGTAACCTTGGTCTATCAGTGTCTCATAGATGTGTTTGTGTCAACATGTGGTGGTGTCTTGCTGGGTGGTGTTCTTTATTGTTGTTGCATGGGGGGGGTTTGTTGTTGTTTTGTTTTTGGGTTTTTTTTGAGACAGAGTCTTACTTTATTGCCCTCGGTAGAATGCGATGGCATCATAGCTCACAGCAACCTCAAACTCTTGGGCTCAAGAGATTCTCTTGCCTCAGCACTCTGAGTAGCTGGGACTACAGGTGCCTGCCACAATGCCTGGCTATTTTTAGAGGCGGAGTCTCACTCTTGTTCAGGCTGGTCTCAAAATTGTGAGCTCAGGCAATCCACCAGCCTCGGCCTCCCAGATGTTGTTGTGTGTTTCTAGGTGCTGTATGATGACAGCTCTGACTGTCATTCCAGAAAGAATTCCAAAATTGTTTGAAGGGTGGACTAGGTTTGAAGGGTATCGGTGCATAACTTCCCATGGGGAGCACATCCAAGGTGACCATAGTGATATTTAGCAAGGAGGTATGCAGCACTTTTTCTAGGATGAGTTGTGAACTTAACTGTTAGACCTTATACAGGATTGGCCTGGGAATGAACATGAAGCATTTATAAAATGTAAAGCAAGGCTTGGCGCCTGCAGCTCAAGCAGCTAAGGCACTAGCCACATACACCAGAGCTGGTGGGTTCAAATCCAGCCTGGGCCTGCGAAACAACACTGACAACTGCAACCAAAAAAATAGCTGGGCATTGTGGTGGGCGCCTGTAGTCCCAGCTACTTGGGAGACTGAGGCAAGAGAATCTCTTAAGCCCAAGAGTTTAAGGTTGCTGTGAGCTGTGACGCCACAGCACTCTACTCAGGGTGACAGCTTGAGACACTGTCTCAAAAAAAAACATAAAGCAAGATATAAGTATTTTCTAAACTGTACTTTCAAAGCTCAATATACTTATACTTACCATCCCCCGCCACGGGTTCCCAAAAGCTGACAGGTATCTTGCCGAGTACTTTGAAGACCCCCTCATGGTCCATAGACCAGGTGGCAGACCCACACACATTTACACACTGCATAATGTATAAATATAGGTTTTATTAATAATGGGTGAAATCCCACAAATACAACTGGCATCTCTTTGTGATGAGAAGAATCTGTGGCAGGGTGAGGGCCGAACAGAGGGATATGTATAGGAACAAGGCAGGAAAAGAGCCCTAGGAGAGGGGAAATCAGAAGCAGAATGAGCCTAGACCCACCAAAAAAGCCACACATGCTCTGGGTGTGTCTTCCATCTGGTACCCAGGGCGTGCTGCTCTGATGGCTAGGGGCCACCTGCTGATGGAAAAGGAAGGAGGGACATGGACAAGAGTTTTATTTTTTAATTTAATTTATTTATTGTTTTTTTTTTTGAGACAGAGTCTCACTTTGTCACCCTCAGTAGAGTGCTATGGCATCATAGCTCACAGCAACCTCAGTCTCCTGGGCTCAAGTGATTCTCTTGTCTCAGCCTCCCGAGTAGCTGGGACTACAGGTGCCCACTACAACGCCCGGCTAGTTTTAGAGATGAGATCTCGCTCTGGCTCAGGCTGGTCTCGAACCTGTGAGCTCAGGCAATCCACCCGCCTCGGCCTCCCAAATGCTAGGATTACAGGCATGAGCCACCGTGCCTGGCCTTATGGACAGGAGTTTTAATGAGCAGCAAGCTGCCAGAGAAGGGATAGAGGAGTGAGGATGCCAGTGTGGAGCACAAAAGGAGGGCCATGGGGTGGCGGTGGCCAAGGCCAACCTATGCCCATGCTTGTGCTTGTGTTGGCTCCTCAACTCCAGGGAGCTAGTTCCCTGTGCCACCCCTGGCTTGGGACAGAGGGAAGACTGGGGTAGACTGCAGATCCTGGAGACACCCTGGGTAGCACCAGCCTCATCCTTAGGGCCTCCAAACTGGAATTCCCAGGAGGAGGTTGGCACTGCCCTCCCCACGGCACCCCCCACCCCATCACTCTTCCTATGTGCTGTAGACGATGGTGAGTGTGTACAGCTGAGATTGCCTGTTCGCATATGTGTGCCTGTCACTCCAGAGAGGAGGGAGCATTTTGGGACTGAGTGTCAGGAGCAGCAAGAAAGGAGGGTTGGGTCTTCCCCAACTCACCCACTGGAATAAAGTGCATTCTCCAGTTCCATTGGCAGGTAGGAGAGGAGCACAGACATTATTGCAGATGTGCCACCAGGCTCTACCTCCCACAAAAGGTGCTGGGGAGGAGGCATCCCAAAGCCCCAGGCCTCTCTAATCCCCAGGATTGAGAGTGGTGACCCAGACAGAAAACCCAGCTTCTGTCACAGCAGATTGTCCAAATCGGCCAGGGTCAAGAGGTGGGGAGAAGGAAAGGAGGAAGAAGAGACTTCCAGAGCCTTTCCCTGCTCCATTCCCGCATCCATAATGGGACTTACAGGGGACCCCACCAGGGCCCAGCCCTGGAACTCCAACCTTATAGCAGCCCAATTTACAAACACTTGTGTGGTGGGGACCCCCAGAGGGGGCCACTTTGGTCAGTTATAAGTGGGATCCTGGAGAGCCTGGGGCTCCCAGGCAGACAACAAGGAGGATGCCGCAGACAAGAAGGAGGGTGGCAGCCTCCCAGTGGTCCTTGCATGCAGGTGCTGGAGAGAGTAGGGAGGAAGCTACGAACAGCATCAACTTGGAAAGACCCTGGGCATGGTGGGATGGACTGGAGCCCCCACTCCCAGGGCCCAGGCCAGAAGTACAGTCCAATAGCCAGCCTGTGGAGGACTGAGGGAGGGGAGGGCAGCTATACCAGCAACCAGTGCCCAAGTCTACAAGGTTAAAACAGTCCCAAAGGGCTGGGGCCAGAGGCTTCCTGCTGCGAGGGCTGGGGTGCAGGTCAGGGGCAAGGTCTATCTCTCTGACTTGACCCGGTAACGGAGCACAAGGTATGCCAACAGCCGCAGGGCCAGGAAGAAGATGCCCAAGACCAGGAAGTCCATGTAGAGCTTGGCATCCTCCACATCCAGCGCTCGGAGGATGCTCTGTGGCTCCCGGAAGGGGCAGCGTTCCTCTAAGCATGTCAGGTCTCCCCGCTCCATGCCATAGATTGTCAGGATCACGCCCTCAAAGCCATACCTAGGCAGGCACAGGCATCAGAACAGGATCCAGAGCACAGGGTCCCTGGTCCCTGGGCAAATCGTAGGAGCCTAGCTGCAATGCTGCCACTCCTGGGGTCCAGCCAGGTGCCCCTGCCCAAAGAACAGTAGGACAGGCACCAGACTTGGCATAACCCAGGAAACCTGGGCATAGCCTCCTATAGCAAGAAATAGGGGGAAATGGGGAGGGAAGGGGCACTGACCTGACATAGGAGAGGTAGGAGCTCCATTGCAGGTAAGTGGGGATGGTCTTAAAGCTGACAAAGAAGCCGGAGAACAAGAGGACAGGGATGGCGGTAACTGGGCCCACAAAGGTGGCCACCTAGAGGGGAAGGGAGGGGACGGGACATCACAGGGGTGACCAGGACAGGCCCAGGACTGGAGTAGCCCCTGGGTTTCCCGAAGGTCTATCCTACATCTTATACCAGGCCCTGCTTCCTCCTCCCACAAGACCTCACCCTGCTTTGGAATCCCCACATGCCAGCCTTCCCACCTGCAGGGAGTTGGAGGCAGCTCCAATCAGCAGCCCCAGAGATTGGGCCACCAAGGCAGTGGCGGTGGCCAGGGCTGAGAAGAGCAGGAAGCGGCTGGTCTCAGCTGGCTGGCCCGTCATCCAGTACACGATGCTGCAGTATACCACCGGGCACACCACCTGGGGAGGGAGCACAGGCTGGGCAGTGGACCTCACACCTGGGGCACAATGGCTAAGACCCTCCACTGTACCCAGGCATGAACCTCTAGAATACCTATTCCCCTGCCTGGCCTGCCTCTAAATTCTTGCTCATGCTGTCTCCTAGATGGACACATGTCCCCTGACTATATGAACCTCACTCATCTTCTTGTCTCACCTCTTCCACTGGGCCCACTCTGACCAGTTCAGGCACTTCTCCCTCCTCTGAGCTCCTAAAGTCCTTCCCATATAGATCAGTTTATTCTTTGTATTATTAATTAACTAGCTCTCCATAGGAGAATGTTCTATTCCCCCTATGAGACTATCATCTCCTATGATAGGACTGTCAGGGACTGAGCCCACTACATATGGTTGTTTCCTGCATGGGGGCGTCCAACCAAGAGGCAGCCAGAGGCCGAGATCCAGCCTGTCCCCTTTTCACTAAGCCAAGCCTAGTGCAGGGTCCACCCTGAAGAAGGGCACCTATTCTAATTTGTGCAAAGGTACTCTATGGATTTATTGGTGGCACTGGGGCTTAAAACAGGGAGATGGGCTGGGTGCAGTAGCTCACGCCTGTAATCCCAGGATTTGGGAGGCCGAGGTGGGTGGATCACCTGAGCTCACAGGTTTGAGACCAGCCTGAGACAGAGCAAGACCCC